AGTAACAGAAGAATCTGTGCAGTCAAAGGCTCATCGGTGGACATTTCATGTACTTACAACAGTTATGAAAGTCCAATCCAGTCAACGTCCTGGTTCCGTTCTGGTCGTGGATCTGAGGACCTCAGAGAAGACTCCCAGTATGCAGGTCGTGTTGAGGTGACTGAAAGAGAGAGAGGACACTCCACTCTGAGAATCAGAGACCTGACAGAGAGTGATTCAGCTGAGTATCACTTCAAATTCAAAACACAAAGATTTGAATGGAAGAGTAGTTTACCTGGAACAACTCTGACTGTCACAGGTACTGATCAACACACACTGACACATTTTATTCACTTCAATTTTACAAACTGAATTGTGTTAAATTGTTCTAAAACCTGTGTAAAGTTTTTAATTATTTACTTGTTGGTGTATTTGTAGTTTGACTGTTTAACAGTGTGAATACTTTTATTTCACAAAGCTCTGCAGGTGAAGGTGAGCAGAATAATATCAGTCCATGCGTGTCAGACTGAGGCAGAGCTGAAGTGTGAAAGCAGCTGCAGTCCAGCTGGTCGTGTTTCTTTCGTGTGGTTCAAGAACGGACAGAAATGCATGACACCGCAAACTTCTACTTATACAGCCTGCTTTTATCCTGGAGACAACATCTCCTGTGCTTTCACAGGATACGAGCATTACCGCTCTCCACCAGTGTGTGAGTTCACTTCACGTTTCAGTCACAGACTTTTATCATTCCGACAGATTACAAATAACTTCAAAGTGATGATAGTTGGAGTCAGGTTCATAAAACTGAAGCCTGCATTGATTTACACTAAATGTGTTTGTGAACAGAGGACAGGATACATCAGCTCCTTTCACTGCCCAGCTGTAGGCTACTGCATAGTGAAGATGTCATATACTCTAATGAAAGATGGCAAATGCCAAACAACACAGGAATGATTTTTGAGCAGGAAATCTGCTTCATGTAAGGAAACAAGGAGCTCTTCCTTTGGAAGTTTGGAAAGATTGTTCATCCTTCTCTCACTGCCAGGCCTATTTCATTTGACTTTTTTTCCTAATTCAGGAACATGATGATTCTGCAGTCACAATATGGATATCAATGTTACCGTTGTGATAAATAAGTGTTTACTAAACTTGAACTAATTACCCATTTCAAACCAAACAATCTATTCTATAAGCTGAGGATATCAAGCAACCATAAACTATAGCCTTCATCATATCATCATTAAATTTGTTTTTGGAAGGCATGATTCATTACTTTAGAAGATACTGTTACCAATGTAATGAGCATTGTGGTACTTGTACCTGTATGGTAATTTTGAACAAGAGATCAGCAGCAGTGTTCTGACTACACAGAGAGGTCCGGCTGTAGAAAGTTTGTTCTGTGAATTTATGCAACATGAGCAGTAAGACTGAGAAACTCGACTGATCTATACATAACACGTTTATATGCTGAAGATAACAGATTCAGAAAATGACTGATAATTAAATTGCTTTATTTATTGTGTTTGTTAAACTCAAATCAAATCTAATCAATCTTTATATTCTCTCTTCTAGATGCTCCAAAATTTGCTTCCGTACTGGTGCTGAATAACTCTCATGAGATAATGGAGGGTAGCTCTGTGAATCTGATTTGCAGCAGTGATGCTAACCCAGCAGCTAATTACACCTGGTACAAGGACAAAAAACCAATCAGTACAGAACAAGATCTCATCTTCAGATCCATCCAGTCTTCTGACTCTGGAGAGTATAATTGTACCGCTAAGAATGAGCTGGGTCAAAGACCATCTGAAGTCATCTCTATCAATGTGAAATGTGAGTGAAGACAGTTATCTTTGCATAATTAATAGTTTTAACAGCAATTTTTCTAAAAGTAAACCAGGCCACACCTTACAAACCCCGATACAGTCATAGAGTCAGAGTAAATGCTGCAGGTCTAAAACCTTTATCAGTATTCAGTTATAGAAAAGGTTTAATATGTCACAAATTTTAGGTCAAACAGGAACAGGAATACATGTTTTTTAGTATATTTTCTATTTCTCCTCCAGATGCTCCAAAGCTTCCCTCTGTGTCAGTGAGTCCCTCTGCTGAGATAGTGGAGGGCAGTTCAGTCACTCTGACCTGCAGCAGTGATGCTAACCCAGCAGCTAATTACACCTGGTACAAGGAGAACAAATTATTGCTTCATGGA